AAAGAGACCAAGAGATGAAGGAAAGCGAGAAGGCGAGGAAGAGAAAGAGGAATAAAAAGAATTATGGCACATGATGTACCTGTACCAACTCTCCACAATGATGCAATCATTATGCACCACACACAGGCACCAATAAAAATTTTTAAACTATGAGATGCTTGCAGCCTGCAAAAGTTCTCTGGGCCAAAACAAAACCTCTGTGGATGATGGCACTTGTGTTAGTTAGGGCTATCTTGGTTTAGCTCCCATAATGTAAGTAATGGCTTACATTTCTTCTCTAGTAAGAGGTGGCAGAGTAAGCTTCAATAGGGCTCTGGCCTGTTACACAGGCTGTCTGAATTGTATACATGGGTCTCGTATTTAGTTCTGTGGATGCATTTTGAAGCTTTATTTTGCTGGATCAACTTCGAAAGCATAATCACTAATATTTTTAGGGTTGGAATAGACTGCAGCATTTCAGATTTGGAAAGGATAATCCTACTTTCAGACACTGCCTTAACCTTCCTGGAAGTGCACTCATCCTTGTCAAACAATAAGTTCTGGAGTTTGTTTCGGAAAATATTACTATGCCACTCCTATGCGCACAGATGGAAGACATCACTGATTCTCCTTCCCCACTCAACATCAAGCCGAGCTTCCAGCCAACCCTGGTTGCTCCCACATGCTCTTGAGTCCAGCTCTCTATGCCTTCTGCTGGATAACACTGATGGGAAAATTCCACCAAAGTCTAAGGAATCTGTGAACAACCAGATGATGCTTGGGGTTCACTGGGTTAAAAAGACAAGATCACCCTGGAAAAATAAGACACTCTCTACCTGTGCCAGCCTAGGAATACAGTCAGTTTCCTATTGCTGAGATATAAGACACAACTAAAAGGAGAAAAGGTTTATTTCGCTCACGGTATCAGAGGTTTCAGTCCACGGTTGGCTGGTTCCAAGACAGCCAACATGGCGGAAAGGCATGGAAGCGGAAAGCTGCTCAACCCATGGCTCTACAAAGCAGAGAGCAGGAAAGAGCCCGAGAGCAGGAGGGGGCAAGGACCACATATAGTCCCCAGGTCACTTCTCCCTGGCCTACTGGGGTACACCCAGGAGTGTGTTTTACTAATCTTTCAGGCAGCTGTCAAGCCAATTGAGTTGGTAATCATGATGAACCCTGACACAAGGCAAGGATTTCAGCAGACAGCATCAGCAGACTGAGGGCATCACAAACGAGTAGTTAACAGGATGCTAGGCCAGGACCATGACCGAGGGGTCCTCATACAGGACCAGCACTCACACTCTTTGTGACTCCCTCACAGCTGAGAGATGTGCTGTCATGGGGCTGCTTCTTGGTCTTTATGACTGTTTTGCAGATCTAGAGATGAATAGGATGTTGGCCCAAGTGCAGGGCAGAAAGGAGGAAGAGACTCAGGCACGGAGCAGCTGCATAGCAAATGCTTTGCGTCCTGTGCAACTCACACTGCAGATTTCACAGCCTAAGAGGCTGCACTACCAGGGAGAGTTTTAAAACAGTACGTCCAGTAGGTTCAAAGTTGGTCTTAAAAAGTAAAAAAGAAAAAAACTGGAATGATACAGACCACAAGTCAGTAGGATTTACTTTAGGGGTTAGAATTACATTTTTTAAAAAGTGTTTCCCTCTGTCTCATTTTTCAAACAATCTCCAACAGTCACGTATGAGGCCAATGACAAAGACATCAATTCGAAAAGTCTAAAAATAAGGATCCCTCACTAACGTGTCCACCACGTGATCCTGCAGGAACCAGCACTGCCTGCATGGTGTCAGCAGCACGTGTGTCCAAAGGCTGGAGGTGGCGAACACAGTCCCTGTGGCTCTGACTATGTGATAAACACCTCTGAAAGACAACATTCATTTCTCTGTCTGTGTGTCTGTCTATGCTCACCTATGGTTTGAGTTTTTCCAACTCAGTCTTAGGGACCAATGGCAATACATTTAAATTGTGCCTTAGGAGAAAACAGTGGTTTTAAAGATACCAGTTTTGAAGATCTACAATAATAAGCGAGGTCCTATTATCACAGTTCAGGGCAGGGCAGCGGGGGAGACCTGCAACGGGAAATTTACCCACTGCTCTGCTCCACCCCGTCACCCTGCCAAGGAGCCACCCAGCGCCCAGTCACCCACTCCATGAAACACAGGACCAGGTGAGCTGGGAGAGTGACCGTCTACATCGTGGCTGTAAGAAACAATGGCTGCACTTCCTGGTTTGTGACAATTCAGATGAAAAACCTACAGCAAGTCATTGCCCTGCTGGAACTGCTACTGTCCACCCCACAGCACAGCAGGCCATACCCCCGGGGCCGAGCCTGGGCCGCTGCCTGTCTCAGGACGGTTTATGAGTCTGATATTGTCAAAAGGCTAGAAAAACACAAAGGAAAAATACTGGATGAAATGTGACAAAAATATGGAATTCAAATGTCAGCATTCATGAAATTTTAAAATGCCTGCTCACTGACCTCACAAGAAGCTCGCCTGATCTACACAGGCATTTTCAAGATGGTTATAAATATTCCTGGTACAGCGGTGCCTTGACTCATGAACACTTTTGTTGGGGAATAATTTGGTTTGCAATCAGAAGTGTTTGGCATTTTTTTTTGTTGTTTGTAGACTCCACATTGAGTGATGAACGTGACTGTGGCCATCTTTTCCAGAATCATGGAGTAAATCAAGTTCGTGAACCGAGGCACCGCTCTATTCTCTGCCATCAGCTCTAGATGGCAGAAGAGATCCTTAACTAGCAGGGAGAAAGAACCTAAGCCACAGACTGGGGTCCTGCAGGGTATTCACATTTCCAGTCAAGTCATTCCCTGGGGGCTGCTCTTTCAGTGGTACAAAGCGTTTTTTCTATACATGTTTAATAAACCAAAAATTAAATGTCTGAAAGAAACTACAGGACTCCTTTAGTGCAGAAGTAACGGCTGTACTGAAACAGAGCGTTTGTTCCCCGCCACTAAAACACACATGGTGTAATCTGCTCTGTCAGTGTGCCCCGTAACACGTCTCCCTGTGGGACCCAGGGCTGGGTCTTCGGTTTCCAGCTTTGCCCCGTCAGGGCTGGATTGAGAATTAAGACTGTGTGTGTGTGTGTGTGTGTCGGGCACCAGCTTTTATTTTACTGAATTTAAGTGGTTTTGGGATTTGATCCACCAACATGTTGCATTTCTGCACAGTGCAGACAGAAACAAAGCAGCATTTTTATGGCTCAGTGCTGCCCAGGCATTTCTCAAGCACACACGGCCCTCCTTCCCAGGCATCACAGTCCCTGTGCTCTGCTCCTTTGCCTTTCCTAAAACTTTCAGTTGTGGACGTCTCACTGTTGAGGACACTGGATCCAGCAGGACAGTGGATCGCTCCACACTGATGACCTTGCACCAGCCCAGCAATTATCTGAGCTAAGGCTCAGATGTACTCCGGACACTGCAGCACTCAGGACGCTGACTTTCTCTGGATGCCACACCCTCACCCCCTGGCATGCGGCCCTTGACACCAGCATCCAATGCCCATGCAGTATTGCAGTGTGCCCTGCTGGACCCCAAAGCATCCTTAGGGATCGGGTGTTGAACCAGATCTACACGTGTTTGTGGGTGCCTTTCACCCCCTCTGAGTGAGGGCAATCTCACCCCACCCTTTGCACATCTCTTTTCCTTTTTTTGGAAGTGGATGTTAGAGGACCAGATGTTGACCGTGGAGAACCCACACCTGGTTTTGTTCTGTCTTTCTTTGAGAGCCATTTAAAGCAGTCTCTCCGGCTTCTGGTCACATCTCGGCAATATGGTCGGAGGCTGTCATTTAAGGTCACAGACGTCACACACCACACCACACTGAGAGGGGACGGCAAGCTATACACCCCTGGAGCTGTGTGTGTCATCAGCTGGTCATGTGATGACCACCTCTGCAAACCATGACTTTCCCTCTGCAATGGCCAGCAGTGCAGAACTCTTCACCCCAGCCAGTATGTAAGGAGTGATTTTCAGTGGTGGCCAGAGGCCTTTTCTAACCTTTTTATTCCTTTCCCTTTCACTGGCCATGTTATCCTGTAAGGAAGTTTCCTTTTTGACTGAGAAGGACATAGAATCCTTCACAAAATCAAAGTCTACTCTAGATTCTTTATCTTCAATTACATTCGCACAGTGAGGATTTGGTGTAACGGGCACTCGGAACTGAGGCAAATTATCAGCTGTTTCCCTCTCCATGGACATTGGTGTTATTTTTTAGTGTTTACAAGGGGCTCATTCTACTTTTGTTAATCACACACTTGGCCTGTGTGCTCTCCTGAGCTGGTTGCTGCAGACACCATCTAATTGTTCTTGGGTGTAAAGTGCTCCTCCAGGAGATCTCGTGTTGGCCCAGGTGCCACAAGCTGCAGCACCCCTTCTTTCTAACTAGCAGCACCTCCAAGCAAGGGGATCCACTTTTTCCCTCTCAGTTGATTCATCTGATAAGACTAAAGGGCAAGGTAGCTGTCATGGCTTGTGTCTAGACATTCCCCCAAAGCCTCACGTGCTCATAGGTGGAGCTTTTTGGAGGTGACTGAGCTACAGAGTATGAATGTGGATTAAGGGTGTGTGATAACTAAATCAGCCCACTGGTTAGTTAACGTACTTCTGAGTATGGATAATGGAAGGCCTACTCTAGGGATGGGTGCTACCAGCCAATAGCTGTAGCCTGGGTGAAATAAAAGGGAAACAGAGGTTTAGTGCTACTCCCTTCTGTCTGCCCTGCACGGGCCATGTCTCCTCTATGATGCTCCTCTGCCATGCCACCTTGCCTTGGAGCTAGCCAGTTACAGATTTAAGCTCCTACAAACTTGAGCTGAAATAAACCTTTCCTCCTTTAACTTATGAGTGTCAGGTATTTTGTCTCGGCAATGAAGAAGTAACTGAGACAGTGGCTTCCCAGTTCTACCATGTTTTTGCTCAACACTGAAGGTGATTACGTGGGTGGGAACCGTGTAGCCTCTCCTTCCCACCCTCACCCCTCACCTTGCATAGTAGTCGTTGGGGGGCACGGCCTCCTGGAAGAACTGGAACTGGTACAAGTACAGCCCGATCAGGTGCCCCGCTGTGAAGATGGCCAGCAGGACACAGAGGCAGCTGAATAGCAGCGGGTCAAACGTACGGCACCAAGACCACCAGGTGCAGAGGCCAAGGAAGACGAGGAAGTACACAGCCGAGGTCAGCGAGGGCAGCATCATGCCTGGAGACACGGACAGGGCATCAGTGACAGGGACTGGGGCACCCTGCACGGCAGGCCCTGAACTGGGACCTAAGGGGGTCCTGTCTTTGCCGTGGTGACCACAGCTTTGTTATGTGATCAAGTGCTGAATTAGTCATGAAAAAGACAACACGAAAGTGACAACTTTCTAGGTACAAAGAAAGATGAGAAAGACGAGATGACCAAGAGCTTCCTCCACGGTTTCTCAGATGAGCACAATCTGCTTGACTCCCTAGGAGAAAAGCATCTTTCTGGCTGGTTTCTCTTTCAGATGTTTCAGAATAAGTGCACACCCACTGCAACTTTACAGTTTTTCCTTTAGAATGATTTACTATTTTAAGTTTTTTTTGAGACAGGGTCTTGCTATGCAGTTGAAGTTGGCTTTGAATGCACTATGTAGCCCAGGCTGGCTGCAAACTCTCAAGTGATCCTCCTGCCTCAGCCTTCTGAGTGCTGCGACTACAGGAGTGTGGTAGGAGGCATCCGGTTTTACCTCCTTTTAGGATTCATAATAACATTACACTGTGGCAGCTAAAGTCTCCTCTATTTCGTCCTGTTCCACAAAGAGGACATGTAAGAAGAGGCCAGTCCCGTACAGATGCTACAGGGATTTTATTGGGCATCTGAAAAGACTCCTAATTAAAACATTGGGTTTCGTTTCTTTCTTACCCTCTTTTTCCCAGTCAAAAACAGCAGTGTCATTTCATTTTGGCTACTGCTGGGGAGAGCCTGGGGTGCGCAATGCTAACCAGCATCCGTGCCAGGGGTGGGGACCCCGAGGGAAAGATGGAGGTAACTCCACTATGGGCCTGTCAGCTGCACCTACACCTGGCCAAAGTGAGTCTCGGCTGGAGAGCGCAATCAAACTTCCCAGAGTTCAGTGCAGCTCCCCGGGCTCAGTGCTGACAGCCGGGCTGTGGCAGGCGGGGATGCACTGTCTGGGCACCCAGAGCTCACACAAGGAGTGACTCACCTAAACCCAGGAGGTCAGGGCCCTGCCACATGGAAGAGCACGTGACAGAGGTGCACAGAAAACAGCTGAACACATCAAAGCAGGATGGCACAGAAGTCGCTTTCTCAGGACCACGTGTGAGGCTGGCTTTACCACCCGGTGGTGGCGGCCACTGGGTTGCCATCCCCTGCTGACCACTCACCCGAGGAGCCCAAGAGGATGGTGACCACCACCTTGCCGGCAGTAGTGATCATGTTGCCCACAAACTCCTTGAGCCTCGAGGCCACTGAGGCCAGCTGGCGGAACAGCTTCAGCCGCGCGCTGTCCTCCAGCTCGACGTCCTCACCATCACCCCCGTCCAGGTCCTTGTCCTCGTCAATCAGCGCCTCCTTGGAGTCCACTTTCTCTCCTCTGGCCTGCAGGAGTGACAAGCAGAAAATGCCCAGTACGGACCCCTGCAGATGCATGTGCTTTTGTCAGGTATTAGGGGTTGAGCCCAGGGGAATCTGCACTGAGCTACATCTTCAGCCCTTTTTATTGTGAGTTGCTAAATTGCCCAGGCAGGAATTAACACTGTGATGCTCCTGCCTCAGCCTCCCAGAGTGCTGGGATCACAGGCTGACTTCTTACAGGTAGGATAAACTGCCCAAAACCTCTGTTAACCATCTCAGCTGTACCAGTCTGGGCTCTCTATGGTCCTCCTGGTTGTTGGGAGACTCAAAGCCGCCACGGCTCTGAGGGTGCAGGTGGTGTGGCCAAGGCACAGGTAGCCCCCATGCTCCCTGAGGCTATCTTGGCTGCCATTTCAATATTTCCTGGCTGGGTAGGAGGACATGTCTGGGCTCCCTGGCTGCATCTGTGATCACTTCCTGTCTTATCTCTCTGGGGAAGGACACTGGCTCCGCCCAGGGCGGGATTACTAGGAACCTGGTGTGTGGGTGGGTGAACATGTGTCCCAGACACACACAGGCTTTTCATTGCCAAGGTGCCTTTCGCACCTGTCATCTTCAGAGACTAAACGGGAAATTTGGGGCTGACCACGGTCTTTCCCTGGAAGGGACTCATACACGCACTTGTACATGGGAGCTGTCATCTCAAGACAGAAGGGCTGGGAGCAGCAGCCCCGTCCACTCTCCTCCCCAGGCCTGGCTGGACTTGGGGACAGCAGGGCCCAGCTTCTGGGTTCTGGGTCCTCAGGGACACTAACTTTGTCTACTAGACTGTCACGGGACTATGCTCACAGAGAGTGTCTGTCCATGCTGGGTGCTGCTCTCGGGGTAACACACCCTTCCCCAACCCACACTGGCCCTCGGGGATGTCTGCAGAGATCTGGCTGGGACCTGCACAGTTCCCCTGCGGTGACCCCCTAGTGGCACCATCAAGGCCAGGGCTGCGTCAGGAGGGGAGCATGGCAGGAAGGCCAAACACCTCACACCCTTGCTTTCCTGAGCACTCTGGGGTGCGAAGGACTCAGAGAACAGACCCAGGCTCCCCGTGCTCGTCTGGGTGCATGCTGTCCCCGAGCAGTGTCCGGCTCGCCACTCTCTTCTCTGCAGCGAAGCCAGCCTGCAGCCACACACAGGCCAGCACCCGTGGGCTCTCCTCGGCCTACACTGGGCAAGCGGCACAGGAAAAGTGCCCTCTGGGAAGGAAGTTGCTTGGAAGTGAAGAAAAGGACAGAAGGGCCAGGCGTGGGGGCACACGCCTATAGTCCCAGCACTCGGGAGGCTGAGGCAGGAAGATGGCTGAAAGTTTGAGGCCAGCCTGGGCTATGCAGTCAGGACTGTGTTAAGAAAGTAGAACAGAAAAAGAAACAAAGAGACAGAGAGAGAAAGAGAGAGACAGACACAGAGACAGAGAGAGACAGTGACAGAGACAGGATTGAGGCTGCCCAGCCAGGCTGCCGACAGACTCCTCTGGGACTTAAGTTTCAGACACTCGTCCTATGCTTCGGAGTGGCTAACTCGAGGCACCATCAGGGCTGTGGGCTCGGTGAGGCTGTCAGCCACAGCCTGGCCCTCGGTGGGCCTTCTGGCAAGTCACACAGAACTAGCTGGGGTGGAGACATTTCCTAAACCTGCAGGTGGACTGCGGGGTTGGGAGGTCACCCTGCGCCTGCCGACCCTCACAGGCCGGCAGGGTCCCCATCTGTCCTGCCCTCTGGTTTAGTCCTAGGTGCCAACCCACACACCTGAAGTGGGAGAGGAAGCCCACAGAGGCCCTATCCCGTGCTAGGCACAGCTGGAGCTTGCAGGGGCCTGAGAGAAGCGGTTAGCGCAGAGCTTACAAAGCCAGTGGAACGGCCTACAGCTGTGACCTCATCCGACCTGAACCCTGCCCAAAGGCTTTGGAGACCTTTGCCTCCCTTCTCCAACACCGACCTCAACAGGAAGTCCTGGTGTTTGTGACAACATGATGCCTCGGGGACGTGTGCCACATGCTGGCCACCAGGCCCAGAGTACAAGCCACACTCTGCGTGGAGTCTGGAGGGCTGAACCAGGTGGCCAGGGCAAGGGTGGGGGTGGCAGGGGATGGGACAGGAGGCACAGTGATGGGGCGAGTGGACAGTGATGCTGTACCGCACGCTGGGAAGCGGGCTCATGAGAGGATGCTCCAGGTCCTCAAGGTGAGCGATGTGTTCAGGTCACAGACAGTTGGGCCCCTGTGACCCACTCATTCTAAAATATACACAGGCATGCGGACGCCAGCTGCAACCCATAAATGTACTGTTTGTCAAATGAAAATAAAAAGCTGAACACTAAAAAATAACATTTCCTGACTTCAAAAATCCAGTGAATGCTATGGACCCAGTGCTGTGGTCTTTGCACACAGCAGCTTCCAAGTCCCGCCTGTGGTCACCTCCCACCTGCGGCAGCCCCAGACCATCTGCCACCCTTTTAGTCAAACCCATTTACAATGGCGGGGCCCAGGCATTCACGTGCTTGTACCCAGCACTGACTGCTAGGTCTGGGGACAAATTCCAGGAACCATCTGGGGACATCAGGGGGACAACTGTTCAGGCTTCACTTGAGAGACGGGGGTGCACAGTAAGGCAGAGGCTCTGGGGTGCAGGGCTGCACAGGTGTCCACGGCAACCTGTCCTGCAGGAAACAGCTTTCGGCTCCCTTCTTGGGAAACCTGCTTCAGAAACAGAGCTCAGCGCCTCCAGCCATGCTGCAGAACCAGCATGCTAGGAGCCTGTCCCCTTCCTCAGGCTGGTGGGGGACAGGGATGCTTAGCACAGTGGCCACAGGACTCCCAAGGAGTACGGGCCTAAGAGACTTCTAACCACTGGGACTCGCACTGGCCAGGATGGGTCACCTCTCAGCGATGGCTGCAGTGGATGAGAGAGCGCGAGCCCCACGTGGCAGCAAAGGACTACAGTGGGACCCGCCAGACTGGGCTCAACGTTTATGTAAAGAGGATTTCGCTTTCACGTTAAAACAAGCTCACTCATGAGGCAGCATGAACCCAAGCAGCATCCACAGGGAACAGCCATGCACAGGTGGACGAGGGGCCAGGGCCCTGCTGATCTGGGTGGGGCGGGCAGCAGCAAGGGGCCCTGCCACATGGGGCAGATATGTCCCATGTCAGTGGTGTCCAGTTCAAGGAGAAGCGTGGCAGACAGCAGGCCAGGAGCTTCTGGGTGATGCACGGCTGGCAAGGGGACACCACAGGTCCACTCACTTCGGGGCCACCAGCCCACTAGGACAGCCAAAGGGCAGAATTGCCCACAGGTATTTGCAATTTAAATGCATAAAACCATCTACCAAGTATTTTGGGAGCAGAACAAAATGTTCCGAGAACATCTACCAAGAGGGATCTCAGACATCACTGAAGATCAAAGGTGCCTCTGACTCTCTGAAGAAGGCAGACACTGGTGCCCGCTGTCATCCACGGCTCCGTGTTGGGGAAACCAAGGCGAAGCCGACTTAGAACAGCTGGGCTCACTTCTGAGCCTCCTCTGAGCCTACTCTGCACTACTGGGCCACTGGGGAGCCCCTGGTGGCCCTGGTGATATGGCTGGAGGCCCTGGGGACACAGCTAGTCATAGCTGAAGGCAACTCCTCTCCATGAAGACAGGGGCCATGGTTTCCTTAACCCTTCTCATTGTCTAAACGGATGTCATGTAACACTGCCGGCACCGAGAGCTCGCTCACATTGTGACAACACTGCTTTTGCCAAAGTCCGACCACAGACAGGAAGTTCTCCCCCTTCCAAAGGTGAACTTCTGAAGCCCTTTCAGGAGGCACCCTGCTGTATCACGAGATGTGCCAGCATCGAGGGGATAGTCCCAGGGACAGGTTCTCTTCCTGGAAAAGCATGATGTTTGAGGCCTGCAGATACCTGGTCACTATCTGGATTCTTACAGCTCAGAAAAGTTAACGTTGGAGTAACTGTGTCCGCCTGCTTGGAAATGGGCCAGGACATCTCAGCAGGAGATTCTGGACTCAATCTAAGCACCTAAAACCAGGGGTTCTTCCTAGGCTCCAACTCTTGCTCTGTGAAAGACACAGCCTGGGGCTCAGAGCTGGCACTGGAGGTACACCCATGGGCTACTTTCTGTGGCAGGCTGTGGATCTGTGGTGCCCCAGGGAGTGGAGTGTCAGGAAGCAGGGCAAGCTGAGGTGCAGAGCAAACCTCAAAGCACATTGCCTGGGCCTAAACCTGGAATCTCTGCTTACAGTAAAATATCCTTTTAATCCTTTATTTTAAAAAAATTATTTGATTTGTTAGGCTATTAAAAATTGCCTCTTTATACAGACTGAATTTTGACTGCAGTTTCTATTTGGACAAACAACTCATCATAAGCTTGCTTTGAAATACATGAAAATATTATTTGTCTAACGGGCCTCAGGTCTCAGGAATGCAGTTTCACCACATGGAGAATCCTTTACCACATGATTTAATTTTCACAATGCAACTCATTTTTTAAAGGTTTCAGAATAGGAGTTTTGGGCTGAATCCTACTTGGCAGATCTGCTCTGACTTGAAATGAACAAATAAACACGATCATAGGTAGGTCTGATGAGAAACCCTCCTGGCATGTGAGGAGCCGCTGCCTGGACGAGCCAGGCTCCACACCACTCTGCAAACATCAGAGTAGGACAAAGCCCCAGCTGCACTGATGCCCTGTGACTCTACTTCCCTAAAAGGATCTTTAAGGGACACTTTGGATTTCGTGACACTTTCAAGCTAGCCCACGAGCACCCCATGAGAATCGCCCAAACAAGGAAACCCCTGGGTACCCCAGGGACTACCACTGTCTTTCAAGGACAAGGCTGCAGCCCAGGAGGAACACCCCAGGAGGGGCTGACAGAGACACTGCTCCACCAAGATGAATGAGAGCAGAAACAGCATCAGCAAACACTATTCTCTTAGGATCCACAAACCCAAACATGTTGGAGTGCACACGCCAAGATTTATAAGCAGCAGCAGGAAGAATGCTGGGTCCTTCAAAAATAAAATAAACCCCTCCACTTGCTTTGGCACGTGTGGGCTCCCACTCCTTTCGGACTTCCTGCTGGTTTGTCACATGTGGGTCAGTCTTGGGGGAGTCACCCACCTCCTGGCCCTCCTGGGCCAGCTGGTTGCCCGGAGTGGACAAAGAGAATGGAGAATAATATCTGCAACTGGGCAGAACCAGATTTCACCAAGAAGGAAGATAGACCTCTCCTAAAGGCCTCTGTCCCTGGCAACACGGGTTCTGTTCAGGAGAAGCTCTGAAGTTCCCACCTGGTCAGCTAAGTGGAATACAGGAAACTCCTTGGAGTGGGCTGGTTCAAACGCGGTGTCCACTCTGGTTTCCAGACTTCTCAGCGGACCTCGAGTTTGAAACTGTCCACTGCTCATGTGGGGAGGTGGAGATGAGGCCTCGAGGAGCAGTTTATCCCGAAGGCAGGCACTGTGCTGCATGTACCTCCCGTGACATCTGATTTAACATGCACAGCCCCCACGGTAGATCAGCATTTACGTCGCTCTTACTTTACGTTTTTAGTGGTGTGAGCTGAACCCGGACTCTGCACACACTAAGTGCATGAACTACGGCTGAGCTATACCTCTCGCCCATTAACCCGTCAGGCGGAAGAGAGAGGGCAGACCCGGCAGGCATCGCACGGCCCTGGAGTTTCGGCAGCTGCCCTCGGCCCGTCACCCACAGGACAAGGCGTGACCCCACCTTTAGGAATCAGGGCCAGGAATTCAAGCTGAGGGAAGTGTTCACTTCTGCTGAATAAGGACAACTTTTAATAATGCTTTAAGCAATAGTTTCCAAAACTATAAATATACAATGAACTAAAATGTGAAAACAAATATTCACAATTTAAATTCCATGTCCTAAAACTACAAAGTCAAAAATTGTAAAGTCACAGTTCAATCCATTTCTAGAATTTCTAGATGTGAAGGCAACACTGTTAGCAGCTCCTCTGCCTCAGCTAGTTTTCACACCATGCATCATTCTTGCCCTAAAGAGCATCAGAATATTCACCTGCAAGGTGATTGCCCGTCACTGACCCTTGAGCATTTCAGGCAATAACAGAATTTCTCGTTTGCCTCTGCTTGTTGGATTATGCCCTCTCTCTACTGTCTTGCTTTGACATGGGTTTACAAGGAAATTTTCTGCTTAAGAGTGAAGGACATAAATCACTTGCCGCACCTGAGAATTTTCTTCCTTTGATGTCTTAGTGGCTAACGTTCTCAATTATATAATTTCTATTACTGTACTTTTCTCTTTTTGGCACTTAGTATTGACCCTAGACTCCTGCACTGAGCTATATTCCCAATCCCTTTTTATTTTGAGACATGGTCTCACTAAGTCAGTCAGCTGCCCTGGCTTCACTACTTGTAACCTTCCTGCCCCAGCCTCCCAGAGTGCCGGGCTCACAGGCATGTACCATCATGGCTGGTTTAATTGCTTGCTAAAATCTGTGACTGAAAACATTTGCTAATTCCAAGTGTCTTGTATCAAATGTCCAAATCAAGTATTTCTGAGTAACTTTTTTCTTTGCAAATGTCATTTCTTTTTCATTTAAAAAAGCAATGACTTTTAAATTGATGTCACCTCACCCTGTGTGATACTTATCAAACTATCACAGTGTTCTGAGCAGGTGGGGGACAGTGTGAGGAGGAGTCTGACATCCTCCTCACACTGAGGAGTGAGCCTGAAGTGTCTCTGTGATGTGATGATTTTAACTTGTTTAGGAAGACATGGGATTCAGCCTATACATCGATTCACAGATGGAAAGAGAAAGAAAACATCGAATTTAAACACAATAAAGTACTACTCTGCCATAAAAAGAATACATTTCAGTCATTTGTAGGAAAATAAATGAACTCGAGATCATAATATTATGTGAAATAAATCAGACATAGTCTTAAATATCACATTTCTATTTATGAAAACCCAAAAAGTAAAATAATTTAAAGAACAAAAAAAGGAATCAGGAAGCTAGATCTGCAAGTAGGAAGGACCAGGAGGTGGCAGGGGAGGCAGGGGAGGTAAAGAGAGCTGAGATGTGCTGCCTACGTCACCAGCCCACCACCACGAATGCAGCCGCTCTGTCTGCAAGCATGCACTAAGAAAAATACATTTTAAAAATAAAGTGCTGCAGGTCTAAGGGTTACTCTAAAAAGTCTTTAGAAAACATGGGTGAAAGTGCTTCCCTCATTATTTCCCCTCCTCCCTCAAGGCTCTCTTATCTGGGTGCTTTCCCCTGCCAGAGAGCACCGCAGCCACGCCCAGGTGAGGAGACAGGAGGAATGTGTCTCTCCAAGGAAGAAAGTATGTGTCTCCCTGCCCTAGGATGTTAATTCTCTGAGTGCCCCACAACAGCCAACGTGGAGGAGCAAGTGGGTGGTGACCCATGGATTTCTGTAGTGGGCAGCAGCTCAGATAAGTGACTCGGGGTGACCCAGTGTACCCTGATGCTTCACTGACTCCCCAGGTGGCACGGTGGCCGGAAGGGCGAGGCTTGGTTCTGGTGTCCTGGAGAGCACCTGATGGCCCAGGTGTAGGACTGTGCAAGCCGGCCAAGAGACCACCGGGCATGACAGTGACCCCCCACACCCACCTGGGGCCAGGGTTAGAAATTGAGGCAAGAAGACCCGAGCCGCAGGACTTACCAGTTCCTCACTTTCGAACTCCAGGCTGTCCTGGACCGTTTCCTCCTGTGCAGGTTTCTGGACCATGTTCCGGCAGACAAGCCAGATGGTCAGGCTGGCAATGAACATCCCTATGTCTGGCACGAACACACGGATCCCATTGCCAGCATCAGCGCCCTTCAAGCTAGGAAAGAAAAACTAGAGATGTTCAGCTGTCCCTGGGTGTGGGGCTGCATCTCCCAACAGGTTCTGCTCCATAGTGCTTTACAATAATAGATGCCCAGTTTCTGTCAAGCAGGCACCAGGAAGCTTAGCGCTGACCTCAGGTCTTACAGAATCCACCAAGACGCGGGAGGGTCTTGCATTCCTCCAGAACCAGAAACTTGCCAGTGAGCAGGCTGGAGTAGGCTATGCTGAGCCTGTCAGGAAGTAAGCATGTATCTGGTTCAGAGGCAGCTGTTTGCAGTCTGGCTGAAGCAGCTTAAAACCAAGCGCACACTGGCAGCTAGCAGGTACCATATTATAAATGCAAATAGAAGACAAAAAGTACTAATGTATTTCTGGGGCCCAGCACCTCTCTGGAATCTATACCCTTGGGTGCAGATTGTCGCTCACGCTGCTCTGGGACAGATGGATCTAGGGTACTTCTTGTTCTAATGGCATGAAAGCCGTGTGGGACTCAGCCCTGCATGTGACGCAAGGAACTGCTGCTTCCTGTCTACCACCGGACTCATGACTGATGCTGCTCTCCGGGGGCAGCAGAAAAAGGGTAGCTTTGCCTTCCCTGACCCATTCCAGTGAAACAAAACTCCAGGCCGAGATTTTAGAAAATGTGATGGATGCTTTGGTGTGCAGTAACAGTGTGGGCACTGGGATCAGAGACGCGCGTCCCACTGAAGCCTGCAGTTTGAGCCCTTTTCACATAAGAACACACTAACCCTTCAGAGGCGTCAAACTTCCCAAAGTCACACCGACATGGAGGTGCTGGGATTATAATCCAATTCTGATTAAATTCACATTTATTTGCTCAGTGCCCACATCCTCATCCGTGTGCCCAGGCCACTTCCCTTTGATCCTGATTCTGTGTACAGAGTGAGAGATGCCAGAGCTGAATCCATGTTTCACCTGCAGGTCTGAAAATGGTCACTAACATTTTCACAATGACCGGTAATTTTTAACTATCATCATGGTCACTACCATTTTACATAGAACTTTCCACTGACTTTTTACTGTATGATAGTACATAAGTGTCTTCTAACCCAGGATCTCCCTCAGACCAGTCTAACTGGCTTTTTAAATAAGAATGGCTCGGAAAAGGTATTGCTCGGGAACAGTTATGTGTTTATAAATGGTTCTCAACTCTCATTCCACAAATAAAACAATCGTCACGTGTCAGACATTTTAAAAAATGGAAATGTATTTTATTTTGGGCAATACTAAGAAAATTCAATTAAGAACGCTTCATCTAAACTAAATGCATGATAATGACCTCTGATGGTGGATGTTGTTGTGGGAAAATGTGAAAGTTCACTGCATGCTTTCAAAATGCGCTCCACAGTCGGATGGAGCATGTGACTTAAGACCACTAGAACCAGACAAGGAAAGGGGTCAAGGAAAGTGACTAGGAGCCACAGCCAGGCTGAGGGGAGGCGTGACTGACCCAGTGTGGGGTTGGTGTCCTCAAGTCCCTGTTGCCACTGAGGAGATTCTGGGCAACAGATTTTTATAGCTGTTTCAAGGAAAACAGATTGACTGCAGCACTGTATAAAAGGTGGCACTGAGCTGAGCTGCAAAAGGTTCCTGGGGAGGGGGAGCCCAGCTGTAGCCCCAAAGCTCAGGACAGGGCGGCAGGAGCCAGAGCCCCACCTTCACTGCTGAGGATCCATTAGGCTCCCAGTTCCCAGCCGGTCACTGTGAGGCAACAGCTCTGCTTGATGCTTCTCTGTCCCCAAAGAGACATTTCATCGCATGTATGCATTAGGGGAATATGTGAATGCGGTTTTCAAAAGCAATCATTCTGCCCACTGTGCCACAGCCCGGCTCCTGTATCCCATTTAGAACTCAATCATTGAGCCTCAGAGGCACTAACCCCTTAGCCGGCCTGCTGTGTTAACAAAGCCACGCATTCATCACACACTGCTGAAGAAACGAGGTGGCCTGGAAAGCAGCATGGCACCAAGCACGGTGAGCAGGTCGTACTCGAGCCGGCTGTCCTGACAGGCCTGCTTTGGAGTTTGGAGAATTTTAGACAAAGTACATTCATCAGAGCGCTCATCCTCAGAAATGCTCTGCACCGAGGTAAAACAAGGCAGGGGAAGAAACAGTTTTGGCCAAGTAAGTTCTCAGAACCCACATTGCACACTGTTATCCTCCAAGACTTGAGAAGTTCCAAGGCCAAGTGATTAATTTGAATTCACTTAAAGCAACATTTGGCAAATTTATTTGACCCCAAGACAATTTCTTAAAGATTTCATTTAAGTCCACCACCACCTATATAGCAGAAGTTTAAAAGATGAGTTTTGGAAATGCCACGCTAGGGAACACTCATCAACTGAGGTTTCTGATAAAATATAATTCAGCGACGTAGTGATGTGTAGCGACTCCCTGTGCCCCTGATTTTAATTTCTGAAGTCAGAGACACCTCAGTCCACTCCCTCACCTAAATCTCTCCGTTATCCATGCATTTGCTGAGTGAGCCTTTAAGTCACAGAGCCGGAGGAGAGAGGCCACTGCCTTCCATCATCTCACGGATCACAGAGACCAACACACAGACAGGCTGCCAGGTGGGCTCAGCACATGGTGGGCAGGACCCTGTGGGGGTCGCAGGCTTCCCGACACCCCATTTTCTCTTTCCAGCACCCATAGCACCCAGCTTTCACCTTGCTGAAATTCTACCTAACAAGGTAGAAGATGCTTGCTTAAGGGAACTGGGGCCTGCAGTGCGGGGCTGGAGTGACCCGTCCCCGTTCTCCTCACACTCCGCTGCACCCCTGCCTCGGCTTCTTCCTCACTCTTCTAGTTCCCCGCCTCCGTGAAGACCCCTGAACACCCGAATTGCTGGCAAAGCATCCCAGGCTGCACACACCAGACTCCTGTGTTTCCTGCTGAAATGGCCACGAGCTCAGCAGGCTCGGAGCCCCACCGGATTTCCTGTGATTCTGCACAGAAGCCAGGGGATGGACTCTGGGCTCTGCACAGTGACTCGCACATCTGCACATGCAGGCCATCCTCATCTCCTGCGGGACACTAACAGATGCCCCTTCTCGTACTAGGTACACCTCTTTGGTATTCTAGAGGTTTCCACACTAAGGGCCGACACTGTTTCAAATGCTGTTTTCCTACGTTCCCCACCTTAAAGACTGTTGCTTCCATCATCTAGCAGCCAGGGCAGGGTCCAGGCGCCCGCCTTCTGCTGAGAACGCCCATTGGCTCCGTTTTCTCAAGACAGCCCTGGCCCTGCCCGCCTCCCCTTTCCTTTCTCACCTGGTCCTGGCCTTGGTGCCCTGGACACAGCGGCCTCCCTGCTTGTTTAAGTCCCCTCTTCAGCCTGGGCCTCTGCACGCTCCTGGTCAGCCTTGAGGCATGGAGCAGACAGTGCAGACTGCACCTACAGGCAGTACTTTCTCCTGAACAGACCTGCCCCTCTGCGGCACGAGAGCCACCCTCACTGTGGACATATGGGTGAGCAGGTGCATCTGTGCCAGGCGCCAGCTGCTTCTCCCCGGTTTCCATCCACCAGTCTCCCTGCCCTCTCCACCGAGCAGTTCCTGACCCGCTCCCAGCTCCGTCTCAGCACTGGCTGGCCCCTTGCTCCAGCAGGGAAGGACATCACACACCAGCGGCCAAGGCTGGGGGTCCCTGACCGTCTGCAGCTCTGCTTGGTGCTCCTCCAGCCCCGTGGACAGATGGCAACCAGCAAACGGGCGAACGATTGCCACGGTGGGCTGGCGGACACATGTGGCCCTGGCTGGGTAGGACACGCTGCTCTCTGGACCCAAAGCTTCACCTTCACTTCCCAGGGCCAGGATCAGCCCAGGGTGGGAACAGCAAGACAGACTGGCACGCGGTAAAGACTGCTGTTGCCTAGGGAGTGTCCCAGGATTCCAGGTCACGGATAGAGTCCCAGTTATTTGAATATGTAGATATAATCACCAATATCGGAAGGTGAAAATCATTAGGACATATATTTGGTTCTGATAAATAAATACGTCACAGAAAACAATTCTGACAGTTTTTCCCATGTGCGAGCCAACATGGCACCATCTTCCCAGTTCTCTCAAACCCACTTGAATCACTGGCTTTTTGCACACGCGCCAACGCTCCTCCAATCAGCCAATCAGTCAATACGTCATCTCGCCTGCCCTTTAACTCCACTCCTGTGTATGCCAAATAAAGCTCGCGGTTTTTCTTTGTCTGTCTCAGAGGGTGCTTGGGTCTTTTGGTGGTCTTCCCTTGCCCGCAATAAAGGCCTCTTTCCTTTCTTTCTCTCTTCTCTCTCTAGGACCAAACAACTTCAAAAACAGGAAAGCAAATGTTTCAAGAGCATGGAACAGGTCCGTGTAGCAGAAATTTGTATTTGCGAGTACAAATCAAGTCACCTCGGACTGAGCCCATGTGGGGCGCCATCCCAGGTGCACCGTGGCCATGGTGATGAAGGCCACGCCTGGGAGTCAGCAAGGATGTGGCTTCGGTGCGGTGCACAGGATGGGAGCTGCAGGAGAGACTGGGGTTCTGTGTGAGGAGTGCTGAGCACCTCAGGGCAGGCTGTAACCCTAGCTGCTGTCACTTGGGACTATTATTACCTGGAGGCTGGCGCATAGGCTCTAGTGTGTTGATTAAAGGCAGCTAACAAATTAGACTGCTCAGGGCTGGCGCAGCACATGGAGTAAGGGCATGTGTGAGGCTTTCTGCACTAATTATATGCTATGGGGCATTTAACCATAACTAAATTTTATTTCGAGTAAGTTCTGCATTTGGCCAAGCAGGTTTTGTGTAGAAGTTCTGTTTTCGTAAATCAGTGAGATGAATGTATGGGTTTTCTCCAGACATTGACCTAAATTGTGCTGTTCCTAGGCTCGCGCCAAGGACAGGGGTCACAGTATATCCTGAGCCTCATCAGATGTTGGTTCTCTTAAACAGCAAGGGTTTCCTTTCCATGGCTGTGGCAGTCCATAGAGCTTACTG